CTATTAAACAGAACAATCACACCAGAAATGGAGCGAATCAGTCGAAAAGACATGAGGATAAAAAATAAATAAAATGCTTTGAAACGCCACAATTTGTCAAAAAGACACGGTGCTAAAGACCAAGCCTAATCATCATGCTTTAAAACTCTACCCGTAAAGCCAGTAAGTCAAAACTTGGTGTTCCCGTAAAAACGGACGGTTTCTTTTGATAGGCTATCAATTGCCCTTCACCAGGAATGCACATCTGTGCTATTTTTTTTTTTTAGTAAAACTAAACTGTCCTTAACAAATGGAGCAAACTTTCCAGGTTTGGTTTTAATGGCTGGCCAAAAAATAGCGGACGGCCAACGAGGAACTATAAAGGTACCTTTGGCCTTACACACGGACATGTGTCTAATGACGGGAATGATTAAAGCCACTGGCGAACAGACCCAGTTCGCTTCGTTTGACCAATTTTTAGTAAATGCGTCAACAGCCTCTGTTTCAGGACACCAAAATCGTGAATTGAATCTTTGTAATTGTGTATTGTAATTAGCGGCGAACCTATCAATAGTAAAAGGACCCCATGCTCTATGAAGCATAACAAATAATTCTGGGTGTAACTTCCAATCATCTAAATCAATGGTTTTGCTTAACACATCGGCAGTCCTGTTTTCTGCTCGAGGAATCCATTGTGTTTCAATCATAATGTCGTTAATGAAACAAATGTTAAAAATGTCTACTGCAATATTTTGGAGTTCGAAAATTCTACTCCCGACTTGAACGATGCGACAGGCGCTCTGGCTATCTGAAAATATTTTCACCTTTTTATGCTGTAAACGTTGCACAGAAGTTTTCAAAACTAGTAGGATAGCCGATAACTCCCGGAACGTGGAACTCTTACCACTTTGCTCAACGGACCAATGTCCGTGTATATTTACATCCCTCAACGAGGTAAAATAACCACCATAACCAACACCACTAGCGTCAGTGTGGATTGTTAAAGGTTCTAAAGACACTTTTGGCCGAATGTTATACCCGTTTAGGTAACGTAAATTGTCTAACCAAAATCTCAATTCCTCCATCAAAAGAGGTGGGACGCTATCCAAATGCCCTGCCCATGAATCTCTCTGAGAAATTATGAAAAAGAGTTGCCGCGAAAAAAGCCTCACAGGTGGACCGACAGCTAAATACAATGAATTGATGAAACCGGCGATTTTTGCCAGTTCTCGATATGAAACGTGATTGGAAGACAAAATGTACTGAATGTTTTTCTTAACTTTCTCGATTTTCCGAGGCGGAATTTCAAATTCAAAATTGATGGTGTTAATAATCATACCAAGCCATTCTCCGATTTGCATGGGCTCCCAATGACATTTTTCCTCATTCGTTTTAAGACCGGAACACAATAAATCTTTCTTTTGAATAATACTGGCCGCAGAAGCATCAATACGACATTTATGACCGGAAATACCGTCGTCTAAATAGACAAAAGAGGCGTGGACATCATACGCCATCGTTTCACTAACGGCCTAAGTAATTTTGTAAAACAATAACAAGCTGAACTTAGGCCAAAAGGTAAAACACAGAAAATAAAATATCTCAACTTCCCGTTAAAATTCCACGAAAATCCTAGAAATTTTCTGTGTGCGACATAAATATCAACATGATGATAACCGGATTTAAGATCCCATGTGAAAAACCAAAAGTTCTGTTCAAATAATTGAGATAATGATCGAAGATCCTCATATCGAAATGATTGCTTGAGCAAATGCCCGTTAATGTTGCGGAGATCAAGAACTAAACGTAATTTCTTTCCTTTAGCAACAGATAAAGGATTAACGCAATAGGGTGGTTCGGATTGCTCCTCAATGTATTGACCTTTCAGTAATTTAACAATTGCTTCTGAGACAAAGTCAGGATGATCCCTGGCAGATTTATTGTTAGCTAAAAAACAGGTCTCGGGAATGGACCGAAATGGAATCATATAACCGTCCTGCACTATACTTTGCACAAACTGGGAGGCGTTAAGTGTATCACGCCAGTAAGTTGAACACCTGTAAAGCCCCCCACGCACACTATCACTACAAAAACTCGCATGCACATCGTCACTATTAGAACTAAAAAGGAATAATCCAACCTGGTCTTCCTCCTCACACTGCAGTTCAACGTCTAGTCAACTGCTCGATGCTGGTCTTGGGGGACACATATTGCAATTCCGCTGAAGGTGACCGTACTGTAAACACTGTAAATAATAGAATAACATATATGACCATCAACATTAATATAATAAATAGAAAATAAGTTTGACTGAAGAACGTGTAAGCAGCGAGGAATAATCAAGGCGTGTATACGCCTTTTATACTATTGCATAACAATGTAACATAGTTATGTATGCATATCAGAACATTATTCTGCATATCAAACAATTAGATATAAATTATCTGCTAAACTGCGTAACGCAGATAATTAAAACATCTAATATAATTATATCGAATAAACACACACACATCAACATGTTGCTTGAAGCACTTTGTGTTTATTGCTGCTTAAACGCTCGAGGTAAGAACAAAGCAGTCGTATGACAGCTGTCGACCTATAGTGTTGTGACTCTAAAACAAAACACAATGCTATATACATGGATGCAACACTTAACTTATAACAAGGCCCAATTGCATTCCCGCTTGGACCATTGTGGTCAGGGAACACTGGTCGACGTGAGGCCATAGAATTACGATATGGAATACGGTTTGGATAGCCCTGAAACGGCCGAGACTTTGATGTTTTGGATGCCTTGGCTTTCTTCGCCTTCTTTTCAGCAGTTTTCTCTGCGCGGTCGATCCGTTTCTCGTCATCGGAATTATCGGCTAGCTCGTTAGTCATATATTCAGCTACGGTTTGCCAACCATGGTCGCTCGTATCAGCTAATTTGATAAGCTTCATTCTTGCTTCTATGGCTACTTTACCTTCTTGTAGGAAGCTGATAGCTTTATCGATGTCTTGATGCTCGAGAGCTGTGGTAGCACTTTCCACTGTGTCCAGCACACCAAGCTGGTGATTATATTGCTGCTCATTGCCCTTTGACTTAAATTGAGGTTTCTCTAAGCGAGCCTTCTTGTTCGTGAAGGTTTCTAGCGTCGCTGAATTATCAGCAGACAATCCCCTCTTCAAGTGAGCAAACCGATCGTCGACAACATTGGTAAGCTGTTGGCACATTTGTGTTAACGACTTCTCCATGAATTCTTTCATATCTTTTCCCGAGAGCTCTGGATGAGACATGTTTGACTGAAGAACGTGTAAGCAGCGAGGAATAATCAAGGCGTGTATACGCCTTTTATACTATTGCATAACAATGTAACATAGTTATGTATTCATATCAGAACATTATTCTGCATATCAAACAATTAGATATAAATTATCTGCTAAACTGCGTAACGCAGATAATTAAAACTTACATTGACACCAGAGAAAACAGTTAATTTAAAAAATTTGTGTTTACATACCTTAAAGCACCCAAAGCTTACAATCAGAGAGCTAGCTCACTTAATAGGCATTTTGGTGTCTAGTTTTCCTGGAGTGCAATATGGTCCATTACATTATAGGTCATTAGAAATGTTAAAATCTGAAGCGCTTAAATCAAGCAAAGGAAACTTTGAGGCACTGGTTGCCATTAATAATGCATGCGTAGAAGACCTACAGTGGTGGGTCGATAATATTGAAAATGCTTTTAAGCCGGTTGAGAGACCCAAGGCTGATATCACCATCCACACAGATGCATTTAAGATGGGATGGGGTGCGGTAGTAAATAAAACTGCAATCGAATCCCAAGAACACATTAATAGTTTAGAACTTAAAGCTTTGTTCATGGGTTTAAAATCATTCTATAGAAATTTGCAACACAAGCATGTACAAGCCTTTATGGATAATACAACAGCTGTTGCTTATGTAAATTCCATGGGGGGGACAAAGTCCACCCAGGTCAACAAGCTTGCAAAGGAAGTTTGGAATTGGTGCATTGAGCATGGGGTGCACCTTACTGCAACACATATCCCAGGGTCTACAAATGTAGATGCCGACAAAGAATCAAGGCATTTCAATGACAACACTGAGTGGATGCTTAGACCAGATATATTCAAACAATTAGTGGGAAAGTTTGGTTCCCCCAACATTGATTTGTTTGCCTCGCGCTTGAATAGGCAGGTCTCATGCTTTGCGTCGTGGCGACCTGACCCAGAGGCTACACATATTGACGCATTTAGCATTGACTGGTCTAAGTTTTTCTTTTATGCATTTCCACCATTCAGTCTAGTTGCACAATGTCTACAGAAAGTGGAATGGGATCAAGCAGAAGGAATAATAGTGGTGCCGAATTGGCCAACACAACCCTGGTTTTCCAAACTGATGCAGCTGTTAACAGAGACTCCTTGGATCATACCGAAGAGCAAAACAACACTGCAGCTACCATGGGACGTACACAGGGTTCATCCTCTGCACAGCAATCTGACGCTTCTTGCTTGTCAGATATCCGGGAATCTTATGAAGCACAAGGTATATCTGCAGCAGCAACAAGTATTATTGTCAGCTCCTGGAGACCCAGTTCTGGAAAACTATACCAAAGCTACATTAACAGATGGAAGACATACTGTGGTAAGAGGCAGATTGATTTCATTCGACCTCCTATAGGAGTAGTGCTTGACTTTTTTGTCCAGTTATATGAAAATGGTGCAAGTTACAGTACTATGAACACAGCAAGATCTGCACTTTCATGTTTAGTTGCACCAATAGACAATTATCCATTGGGTGCTCACCCTACGGTTAGACGATTTTTGAAAGGTGTTTTTCAGCTGCGGCCAGCGACACCTCGATATCACAATATTTGGGATGTCCAAGATGTGCTACATCATTTAAAGACATTGGTCCCCATAACAGATATCACCTTGAAAGATTTAACGCTGAAGTTGACTATGCTAATTGCGCTGGTATCGGCTCAGAGGCGTCAATCTATTCAATTGTTAAATATTGACTATATGGTCAAAGATGACACTTCTTACGTGTTTACTATAAAAGACCATATAAAACAGTCAAGACCTGGATATACGCCACCACGTATAGAATTAAAGGCATTCCCACACAATCCCAACATTTGTGTTGTTTCAACATTAAACGAATACATGAACAGAACTGTTGCATATCGAGGTGAGCATAAACAGTTGTTGTTAAGTTATGTTAAGCCATTTAAGCCAGTCACAGTGGACACTATAAGTCGATGGCTAAAATTGGTTCTGGTACAGGCGGGTATTGATACCACATTATTTAAAGCCCACAGTACACGGTGTGCAGCCGTATCCAAGGCGAACGCGAATGGATTACACATAGATGATATCCTTAAAACTGCCGGATGGAGTTCAGAGTGTACATTTGCAAAGTTTTATAATAAGAGTATTAAGACGCCAAACAAGTCATTTGCTACTGTTGTATTGGAATCAAACAATGAATGATGTTAAATTTTTATATTTGTTTAACAATGTGTGATTTGTTTGGTTTATGTGGGGCTGAGCTTTGAAATCTCATGGAAGCCCGCTATGCGGGTGACAAGGTGGAATTTAGAAATTAAACGAGACTTACCTGGAAGTTGAAGTTTGATTGGAATTCCACCTTGTCACCAACGCATAGGGCTCACATGCCCACCCTCCTCTCCCTATGGTGGTTTTCAGCCGCACATAAACATACTTTAAAGACTGATCTGCTCAGGCGCATTGCTATCTCATGTGAGCCCTATGCGTTGGTGACAAGGTGGAATTCCAATCAAACTTCAACTTCCAGGTAAGTCTCGTTTAATTTCTAAATTTTGCCTTCATATTGTGCCCTGAAGGCTAACTGAATAAGTACGTTTCTGTATGCTGGCCGCGTTAAAATTTCTTGTGGGCTCCTGCCGACACGTTTTTCTTCGAATTTTGTATTAAACTCTATTACAGTTTAAAAATGTGAAATTTCTGATACATTTATAATACAAATGACTTGCATCATAGACAATCCAGAAGACAGGGACTGGAAACGCCTAATGTTTTGTTCTGGATTGTCTATGCTTGCATCAATAGAAAGCTAACAAAAAACTACATATGAAACATTTAAATGTTAGTTGGGATTTTCAAGCGGTTTTCGAGTTATTGCCGTTTCAAATGTGAAAAATAAACCAAAATCTCGCGAAATTCCTGGGTACTAGTCTGAAAATGCGCATTCAACAGCTCATAACTCAAGAAGAACTTGAAAAACACGGGTAACCGTTTAAATGTCTTATATGTAGTTTTTTGCAAGCTTTCAAATGATGTAAGTCATTTGTGTCAACTGTAATAGAGTTTAATACAACATTTGAAGAAAAACGTGTCGGCAGGAGCCCACAAGAAATTTCAACGCGGCCAACATACAGAAACGTACTAACTAGCCTTCAGGGCACAATATGAAGGCAAAATGGAATTGTCCCACGATATCGTAAGTTTTTTCCTTCACTTCTGCCCGACTAATAGTTATAATCGTAGGAATTAGAAAGTGCTACGCTATAACGCTACATACTGTTATATGTTGTGTTACAGCCTAGACCTAGGCCTTCTAGTCTAATTTATATATTTTTAATATTCAGCGCTTTTTCACATGAAAAGACTGGGACTAGGTAATTTGGGGGCGGGGCGGAGGAACCAAGCCTAGAAGGCCTAGTGGATTTCCCAACAACAAGGCCAAAACTGCCCTGAAACTGTCCTGGTTGCGAAATGCCCAATTATTGCGTTCTCAAACAGAATTATTTGCAACTTAACGGCGAATTTAAACCGATACAGGTAAAATAAACTCATTTATAGTATAAACTAACTATTTTTATTTGTATACACGTCTAGAAAATCGGGGTTTTTTATCATAAAGTTCGAAGCAACACTATTATTTAATATGTTGACAAGGTGAAGCGAAAGCACAAAATGAGTCAAAATATATACCAAAAGTAGAATCTTTCATGAAATAGTTTGTCTTATACACAACTACATTAATATATATTTTCTCAATTTTGGCAAGAAGCAGTCTTGTGTTTGTAAAATATACAAACACATATACAATTATAATTTATTAAATAAAACGAATACATATATTATTAGCCCGTACAGTACTGTATATAAAAACGTACATTGTTTACAAATGGTATATCCGTAATATTTGAACAATAATTTCAAAATCCTCATTCCCAATTCGCAAATATAGTTATTCAAAGCAAAACAGTAGATTGTCTTGCGAAGAAAAGAATTATTATTTTGTGCTTTCGCTTCACCTTGTCAACATAATAATAGTGTTGTTTCAAACTTTATGATAAAAAAGCCGATTTTCTAGACGTGTATACAAATAAAAATAGTAAGTTTATACTATAAATGAGTTTATTTTACCTGTATCGGTTTAAATTCGCTGTTAAGTTGCAAATAATTCTGTTTGAGAACGCAACAATTGGGCATTTCGCAATCAGGGCCGTTTCAGGGCAGTTTCAGGGCAGTTTTGGCCTTGTTGTTGGGAAATCCACTAGGCCTTCTATTTTTTCGCTTGCGTCAGGCTTGTGTCACAATCACCTAGTCCCAGTCTTTTCATGTGAAAAAGCGTTGAATATTAAAAAAATATATATAAAAATAGAAGGCCTAGGTCTAGGCTGGTTGTGTTATACATTTGTTTATATTACGACTGACTACTTGTCTGATCGTTCGCAAATGACGGTCTTAAATGGGTGCCAATCACAGTCCATGCCAGTTAAATATGGCGTTCCCCAAGGATCGGTGCTTGGCCCTATTTTGTTCTCTCTCTACTGCAACGACCTGCCAGAAATCTGCGATGATGATGAAGGTGATATCTACATGTATGCCGACGACACCACCATATATGTAATTGGCCTAACTCATGATTCTGTTGCCACAACTTGTTGCCACATGATTCTGTTGTCACAACTGTAGCAATAACTTTTTAACACCACACCCGGACAAAACTGAATTCATGATACTTGGGCGAGGTAAATTCGTGGGGCCATTGCAAGGTGTTAAATTAGGAAATACTTACCTCAAACAAGTCGAGTGTTCCAGATGTTTAGGAATTGAAATAGATAGTAAATTAAAGTGGAAAGCTCATGTAACCGAACTAACTAAGTCATTCGCACAAAAACTTAATCTTTTAAAGTCCCTTTATTTTTTACCAACTAAGGCAAGGGCTGATTTTTACTGTAAAGTTATATTATCCTCAATCACATATGGGCTCGTAATATGGGGATCATGTGGAAAAATCCTATTTGATGAACTAGAGCGTATACACGTACGGGCGGCCAAGGTGATTTACAAGTTGGACCTGCAAACACCAACAGAGGATGTTCTAGCCCAAACAAATTGGAAACCTCTGGAGAAGTTATATTCTAAGAGATTGTTATCCTTAGCACAAAATTGTTATTATGGTTATTCCCCTATTCCACTACAGTCATTATTCGCAAAATATTTTAGTAATTATAATCTAAGAAGAAAATTGACTATTGCTCTTCCAAAACCAGAGACTGATTTCCTAAAGAAATCAATTTCGTATCAAGCAGCAGTGTTATGGAATTCCCTTGATAACAATACAAGGGCAATAGAGGACATTAAAAGGTTTAAACTAGTAATTAAAAACCTGTTATCATAAGTGATATAGCATTTGTAAGATATTATTATTGTAGAATAGGATATTATAGTGTAATGTATTGTTATAGTGACAGCTAAATAGAATAGTTTGTGTACAGATATGTTAACTATGTAAATGCAGGACCACATCAGCTATGCTGTGAAGTTAATCGTGTTGAAATAAATGCTTTGACTAACGATGGGAAAAGTGGTTCGAACGGTTTGAGAGAGATCTCAAGTATAACGGATGTGATCCTAGTAAAACACCAGAAGTAGCAAAAATGGCGCTGTTAATATACGCAGGCACCGAGGTGGAAGACCTGCACGACACTCTGCCAGAACCAGGCAGACCAGAAGGCACAGAGGAGGAAAATTGGACCGCGTATGAGCAATCTAAAGCCAAATTGAAAATACATTTTTCACCAAAACAGTGCAACGACTTGCTATCTTTGAATTACTCCGAATGAAAATCGAATCGTCAGAAAGTATTACAAGTTATGCAATGAGGCTACGTAAAGCAGCGAGCAAGTGCGATTTTACAAATTGGTCGGCGGAGAAAATGATCAAAAGCCTGATCATCAGCAATATGCAAGATGACACCCTTCGTCTAAAATTTTTACCGAAGGACAGAACACTGGACCAAATCTTAGATATCGCTAGAAAGAAGGAAGATGCTGTGGCCCGAAGTAACGTAATAGACAGGGACTCCCGACAGGTAGTCAACAAGGTGGGTGCCGAACGAAATCAACCGTTACAACAGAAGGAGACCACAGAGCAGTGCAATCGGTGTGGACACGAAAACCATTTCCCTGCTTTGGAGTGCCCAGCCATATCCAGAATCTGCAATTACTGTAAAAAGAAAGGACACTATGCCAGCAAGTGCTTCAAGAAACAGAAGGAAGCAGGAATCAAGCGCATCGAAGCAGAACCCCAAACTGACACCGGAAACGACACCAACTCCGACACTGATGAGTATGACACAGCCAAGATCGAATTAGTTAACAACCTTGGGATGAGGGAAAAGCCATCGCTGATGAGAGTCCGCACTAACGACCAAGAAGTTCTGTGGCAACCGGATACGGGCACCCAAAAGGACGTCTGGGATGAGGCACACTTCCGCAGCTTTAAAGAAAAGACTCGGGGGGAAGTAAAGTTGACACCGACAAACATCAAGCTATTTGCATATGGGGCAAGACACCACTGGTGGTCATCGGTTTATTCAAGGCAGTGCTGACAGCTGGGGATCGTCCGGACAGTCGACACTGAGATATATGTGATATCTGAACCATCCGCCTATCCACTACTTTCCGAACAGTCAGCCAAACAGCTCCAATTGATCCGGTATAATGAGAAGTTCCTAGTAAAGCGAGTGTCTGAGCCCTGCAAGAAAGTTTTGGCAATGACTAGGCGCCAAAAGATAGCTGACATGATTATGGATAACCCCGAGGTGTTCACGGTAAGATCGGCAAAGCCAAAACGAATGAGGTGTCCCTGATGATCGATGACAGTGTCACACCAGTGGTCCAGAAACAGAGACGGATACCAGTCAATCTCTCAGACCGGGCAGAAAGCAAGATCCAAGACCTCCTGGACCAAGACATCATAGAACGAGTTCCAGATAACCAGCCACGCAGTTGGGTCAGCCCTCCGGTAATTGCTCCCAAACCTGATTCCAACGACATTCGTTTCTGCATCGATATGCGCATGGCCAACAAAGCCATACAACGCCCGTATACGCAGATAGCAACAATGGCTGATGTTGTAAACAAATTTCAAGGAGCAGAACGCTTCACTAAACTGGACCTCAAAGAAGCATACCACTAGTTTGTCCTCGACGAACAGTCGCGTAACATCACCACTTTCTATGGCCCTGATGGCCTCTACCGCTACAAAAGGCTCAATTATGGAACCAAATCTGCCCAGGATATCCTCCAGTTGGAGATGCACAAGATGCTGTCCGGTATCCCAAGCCAGGTGAACATAGCGGATGATATCTTGATTGGCGGGTCAGTCGAAGAGCATGATGCAGCCCAGCTGCAAAAAGTCCTGTCAGCCTTAACGAGTAATGGTATCACCGTGAATCCTGATAAGTGTGTCTTTGATGTAGAGGAGGTGCTATTCGTTGGGCTGGTGTTCAACAAGCAGGGCATAAAACCCGACCCAAAGAATGTAAAGAATCTACAAGATGCAAGTCAACCCACAATTAAAGTGGAGCTGCGCTCCTTCCTCGGGATGGCAGGGTTTAGTGAACGTTTCATTCCGAACTTCGCGAGTATTGTCCACCCTCTGCGGCAACAGCTTAAGGAGAACATCTGGGCGTGGGACGAAAAATGCCAAGAAGCATTCACCAAGTTGCAAGCCTCGTTAAGCGAATTTTCACTACTACACCATTATGTAATCGGACATGACACCGAACTAGTTGTAGACGCCAGTATCACGGGTCTGGGGGCAGTTCTTGTCCAGCGAGCATCGAAGACTGAGGCCTTCCACCCGGTTATGTACAAGTCGCGCTCACTGAAAGAAATTGAAACCAGATACTCCGCGACTGAGCGAGAGGCACTAGCCGTGAGCTGGGCATGCAGGAAGCTACGAAAGTATTTGCTCGGTTACCAAATTTCCGCATCGTTACCGACCACCGTCCACTAATCTATATGTTCCACAAGTTATGCGGGGAGCTACCTCCAAGAGTCGAGAACTTTGTTATGGACGTGCAAGAGTTTGAGTACGAGATCGTCTACCGTCCGGGAAAGACATGCATCGCTGATTACATGTCACGGCATCATGTTGATCGAGCAGGATCAAGTCGAGTGTTTGAGATCAAAGCAGCAGCGGAGAGCGTTGTTGAGAGCGGGTGCTGCCACGCCCTTAATGAACAAGGAACAGTGACGGTGGAGGATATTAGGGCTGAAGGAGAAAGATGCGAAGTCTACCAGAGACTTGTTAAAGCAATCAAGTCGGGAATAAGCGACAATGACGAGGACTTAAAACCTTACATGGTCCCGGAAATCAAACACGACTTGAGTGTGGTCAACGGTGTGGTTTGTCGGGGATCACGTGTTGTCGTCCCTATCGCTCTACAAAAAACGTGTTGTCGAATTGAGTCACCGCGCACATCAAGGAATTAGCAAGGCAAAGCATTTTCTACGGACATTCTGCTGGTTCCCTGGGATGGACAAGGCCGTCGAAAACCAGGTACGAGGATGCCTACCGTGCCAAGCTGTCCAACCACCAAATAACGACCAGCCAGTCAAACCTTCGGAGCTACCAATTGGCCCATGGCAGTATGTGGAAATGGACTTCCAAGGCCCTTACCCCAACGGCGAATATATATTCATCATGATTGACCGTTACAGTCGATGGCCGGAGATGGCATGGTTCCGAAATGCACCTAATGCGAACACCACAATCGCAGCCATGGAGAAGATATTCACCAACAAAGGTGTTCCAGCGGTATGCCAATCGGACAATGGCTCGCCTTTCCAATCAAAAGAGATGGAGCAGTTTGCCCAAAGCAGTGGATACCGCCATCACCACATTACTCCGGAATGGCCCAGAGCAAACGGAACAGTTGAGCGATTTAATCGGAGTATGAAAGAAGCTCTGCAGGCAGCAACTCTGGAAGGGAAATCCCTGAGAGACGCATCACAAAGATTTCTGCAGATGTACCGATCTACCTCACACAGCGCGACTGGTGTCAGCCCGCATGCTGCATTGCATGGCGGAAGAGAAATGAGAACAGTACTTCCACTTATGACACCAACCGACCATGTTACAGACCGTATACGAGACCAACGATACAAAGCCAAGATGAGAAACGGACTGCGGCCACATAAACTTCGGGTAGGTGACAGTGTTATTGTGAAGCAGACGAAAGTCAACAAGCTGACGCCGACATTCAACCCTACACCTCTGAGAATCACCGAGGTCCAAGGCTCGAGAATAACTGCACGGGAGATAAACGGCACGTGGACCATCACGAGGGACGCGTCGTACTTTCGAAAGATTGCATCCGACACGCGTGCGGATAACGAAGATTACCAGGACGCATCAAACGAGAGTGACGAAGAGACGGAGAACGAAAACAGGGGGAACCAACAGGAAACGTTGGATGAAAGCACTGAGAAAGGGCAAAGACCACGACGGACAACACGGAGGCCGAGTTATTTAGAAGACTACGACACTTAAGGGGGTTGGACTATTATTGTAGTTGGGGAGAGATGTTATATGTTGTGTTATACATTTGTTTATATTACGATCGGACTGTTATCGGGACAAACCACCTTTTGGAGTATGGGATTTAAGGAAAAAGAAAACAACATTGTTTTTGGATACGGACTCGATATAGAGTAAAAGATAGCTTTGTAAACGGGTTGTTTCAAGTAAATAAAGTATTCAAGAGTTCAGTACAACACATACAAGAAATATTTATGTTTTAGTGTAACAAGTGCATAACAAGAACAACTGACGTGCATAATAATAGAGTAATTTCCAATGTAATACTAAGTTAAAGTGTAACATAGCTTCGGTCGCCTAATCCTATTACTGTAATTACGATTTACTTCAATGCTACACTTGCCCGCATAACGCAACGAAAACAACTCATGATTGAGAATATTTAATCAAAAATCTTCAAAATGTTAGTTTTTTTTCTGATTTCGTGCTTTCCCGGCCGGTCATTCCCCGGTCATTCTCCGTTCCCTTCCCCGTTCCCTTCACCTTTCCCGTTCCCTTCCTCCATTCCCCGTTCCCCTTTTTAAAGATAGCCTTAAAACTAAAAGGCTTTTTATCATTTATAGACCCGGAGCGAGGGGGATTCGGCGGAATATTACCTAAAGTGATGATAGCCCCCCCCCCCTATATTATTGGCGACTCTTAGTAACGTAGCCCGTACTTCGTTGAGCTTCGATCTGTCCATGTAGAGATGATATTTTTGTACGTAAATTATAAAAGACTGAATAAGCACGTGATATGAAACACAAAAAATGGCGCCAAATCGAATGCGCCCGTGGAACTTTGGTTAGAACTTTGGTTGTGGTTGAATGTTGATACACAACCAAAAGTAGTCTGCGTGCAGGCTGACTTTTCGATGGGGAAGGGGGAATTAAAAATCCATCGAAAAGTCAGGCTGCACGCAGGCTAAACCAAAAAGTGGAACGTACTTTGGTTGTGATTGATACCATGTTGATACAAAGAGCCCGCAATATGTTTCTTACTGGAGTGCGGTTGGAAATAAAAAGTTGCCAATACAAAAATTTGTAAGTAAAATAAAAAAGTTGAATGGAAAAAGTTGTATACAAATTACAAAACTTTGTGTGTATAATAGAAAAAAGTTATGCATAAAACGATAACCTGCAATGGGTGTCAAATTTAAAAAGGTATATCACAAACGAAAAGTACGAATTTTGGCGGGGATAGGACACTATAAACAACAGTGACAACAACTATATGTATAATGAAAAAGTACAGTCAACAAATACAACAGCACGAAGAAATACAGCATTTGAGTGAACGCAGATACACGTACGCTTATGTACCTATTCATAGGCGTACCGGGCGGTGGGGCGGGGGGGGGGGCGGTAGCCCGATTCGATTAACAGTCGGGCAATTTTGGTTTGTTATAAAAATAAATGGGACAAATGTGAATTTTTTCGAAAATTCAGTCAATTTGGGGGACAATGTGGTGTTTTTTGGAAAATTTGTGTGATTTTCCGAAAAATTTTGGTATGTCCGGGGGGGGGATTGGGGCGGGGAGGTCGCCAAAATAATTTTTCCGGAAAAATTTTTTTGGTACCAGTCGGGCACAATCACGAAAAGTCGGGCGATTTTCTTTCCGCCCCCCTAATTTTTTCCTTCCGGTACGCCCATGTACCTATTTTTCAAATTGGGAAGATGAACCAACAGGCACCTGTGCTAGACGAATAATTTTACGTTTTTCATTATACTAACATACGTTTCTACAAAAAAAACAATCGTATTTATCAAATAACTACATTATTGACATTGTTATTATTGGTATTTTTCTACTTGTCCAGCCGAAGTCTAATTCGGTGTAATCCGTATAAAATAAACTGTACCAAAGGCGCAACAATAAAAACAGAACAAAGCAACACCGAGCCGCTATTGAACCAGGCTTGCCATTTTCGTAGTCTAATATGCGGTAAATAAACGGGTCTCCTCTACCGTTCACTCCGCCAGCTGCCCAGTAAGTTATAGTAAACACAGCATAAATTATAGAAAATATCATCATGTAAACCCAATGTAAAATACGGACAGGTAGTTTTCCAGCGAATAGCTCGATCAGAATAAAAATGAATTCAATGTGTGAACAGATATATCCATAAAGCTTGTTGGAGGTCTGAATAATAGTAACCAGTGCTCAGCGGTGACAACCAAACCTGCGTTGGCTGGAATAACCCACAGAAACCACACGGTCTTCTCGTACCAAACTAATGATGGTGTGGCAATACACCCGCCATCATCCAATTGATCCAAAGGCATTGGCAATTCCGTATCTGGAATTTCAGTAACTGTGATTTGAGTATCTGATTGTTTGGTGTTCTTCATTTAGTACGCTTCCTTTCGCCAATTATTTTCCGAGTCACTTTTGTTCTTCAAAACGTGGAATATGCTAATTAGCGTTAGTCCGATCATTGACACAGTAAGCAGGAAATAACTCCAATTTGTGAGGTAAATCAGCCATCTTGAATCCGCTCTTCGAGCAACACTAACAATCATAATGGTTACACAAAATATTGATATACAAAGTCGAAGGAGAAGTAAAGCCCATGGTGGTAACACCTGTAATGAGATTATTTGGCAACCATTATGAACGTATTTACTAGTTCAATTAAGCACCGCCTGCCGAGTAAACGCAGCACTAGTACTTGTTGACAACAAATGCAGTGTTTAATCGAAGTACCGGCAGACAGAATTGAGAAGCCATACTCGGGGTAATGAATTCCTATACATATATTACAGTGTTAGCAAACTTCAAGGCTTTCTCGTTCAACTTGCTGTCTCATTTAACTTTGAAAATGCACAGTCCTCGAATAAGCGATTAAGCGCCGCACCTAGGACGGTTTTAATCATTCTAGAGTTGGTAAAGTGCAATTTTCAGCATTTTGAGCGCTATTTTTATGTATTTTGGTGCTTTTAACACATAACAACTCTACTTAATCACAAACGAATCCAGAAACATTAAATGTATAATCTCCAGTGACAAGTTGATTACAAAATAAGATCTAGCGCGATTTATGTAAATTCTGACCTTTTAATTTGTGTCAAATTGAATGTAAACTTCCAGTGATTCCGTGTATATATTTTGTGTTCTGTTAAACGGTGATTTTGATAATATGTTTTGGATTATAATTCTGTTGTTGGCGGTCGTGTTGTGTCATATATCGTTACAAATTGTGAACATTGGTTTTTGACTAACATTGTCTCGCTGACGCTGTAGTGGATTTGTTTGATACCTTCTCAGTGGTATATTCGTAATGTGTTCGTGTTGTCGTGTCAAGTTTTGAAGTATATTGGTTCAGTGGGTTTTAAACTACAATTGGAATTTTATAATCAAGTATATAGCATCGCTCGTCATGACAACCCTTCCTCGTGCCCAGGCGCTTTAAATCTAATACATGAAGTATTCAGGCAGGCAGGCAGGCAGACGCGCATCGCTGTTTTTTTACAAAGAGACGCCTGGGTACGAGGCAGATGACAACAACAGTGCTTACCTGTACTCGTATATCCATCGTATAAAGACAAGCTTGTACTCTGGAATTGTGTTTGTTTGTCTGTCTATTTGTCTCGTTTTGGTACAATTCCTGTACAATTTGGCTGAGTATTTCGTGTTTTATTCGTACTTTTACTGTTGTATTGTATTGTACTGTTACGAAGACACGAATCATATCACTTTGCCTTTGGGATTTCATTTCCGTCCATTCCCCGTGTCAATTGCTGACGTCCTCGACTAATCAACTCATTTCATCCATCAACCTTACCACTCTTCCCATCTTGCATTATTGTTCGTCTTTAAATCTATCTACCAAAATGATAACCATCAGACTTAGTTTGTCCTAATTCTCATCCTTTTCCTATTGTTGTTTACTGAACAGAAAGTCTAAACTTTGAGTGGTGGGGAACCAAAATTTTTATGGCATTGGAGAGACTCCCTTGCCCCCCCCCTCCTTGGCTACGCCATTGCCTCCAACGTGACTGTTAGCTCCGAACTTGCCACTATACGAACTTGCCACTATATATATAGTAAATTAAGGAACATTAATTATCCACCGAACTACCGCTATGGCCTAACCTTTCAAGTCAACCGTAGAACTTCGCATTCGTTAATTTCATAATTTGTATTCTCCATCCTGGGGATATCCCTTTAAACCCGGATTCTAATTGTCCACATCAACAACCACAGATGCATAATTTAAAAGGTTATCGCATGCCTTGTTATTAATGCCCGTAGTCTAAAAAGTTTGCACTTTACAGATGGCAAACAAGTATGTAATCTATCTCGTTTTCATGACTGGATTGTTTATTCCGAGTCAGCCAATCTTGTGTGGGTCACAGAAACGTGGCTTACTAAAGACATTGATAACGCTGAAAAACTGGTTTTTCAATTTATAGGAAAGACCGTAAAATGCGCAACGGTAGCGGTGTTCTACTAGCAATCAAATCAGATACATTCTGTAGAAATAATCGCCCACTCAAAACTAAAACTGTTCATCTGCGTTTGCTATAGACCACCTAATGCTGAAAAGATCTGGCTAGATAAATTTAACTCGATTAACTGATCAGTTTTGGATTTCCGGAGGAGTCGGAATTCAATGGCCTTCGATCTGCTTTACAAGTGATGATCTCTGAAGATTGGCTGCTGTGGAAAGATACTTTTCTCACAACAGTTAAAGATTTTGTCCCTTCGCGAAAGATCAAGCTAGGGAAGAAACTCCCTTCCTTGGTTAAATGGCAAAGTCATCCACGCCTTACGGCAAAAGGAAGCTGTGCGACGAAAGCTTAAAATATCTCCGACTGCTGCCTTAAAGATCAAGTTCAGAGAATTACGAAAAGAGCCGTAAAAATTTCTTTTCCTCCCGTGAGGTTAACTTCCAACTAAACCCAAAAAGATTTTGGTCGATCTTTAAGCTAACAAACAAAGAATCCAGCATTCCTGAGTCCTTGATACCAGCAAAGCGACTGGACCTGATAACATCTCTCTTAAACTTTTGAAAGAAACTGCCCACCAGAATGCACCTTCACTAACTAAGCTATTTAATAAATATGCTAGTTGTGGAGTTGTACCTGATTATTGGAAGCTAACAAACATTGTACGTGTGTACAAGAAAGCAGAAAAAGATCAAGTTGAAAACTATCGCCCCATTTCTCTCCTCTCTATAATTTCGAAAGTTGTCGAGCGTTGTGTTCTTCGTAACATCCGAGATCACTTGGTAGTCTTGGTCAACAACCCCCAACATGGTTTTATTCTAGGAAAATCCTGTACTTCCCAGCTGGTGGAAGTGCACGACTATATAGGATCTTTACTGGGCGCTGGGAAACAAACTGACGTGATCTACATGGATATGTTCCAAGCCTCTGATAAAGTTAACCATCTCTGCCTTCTCTGGTAGTTTACTCGGTTGGTTCTCCTCCTACTTGTTGAACAGAAGGCAATATTGCCAACGTGTCACTGTTCTAGCGGCTACATCGTCTGAAAAAAGTGATCTTGATAATCTTGAGGAGTGGTCGACTTCTTCTGGACTTTATTTAGTCAAAATATAAATGCAAGTGTCAGAGAATTACCAGGAAAAAGACTACCACCGAATTCCCTTACGCCATCAAAAAGTAATCTGACAAGGTCCAAACACACCGTCGATCGATGCGCCGCAGCCAATAGGATGCTCGGATTCGTACAAGTAGATCTGCAACGGAAATCACGGATAAATGGATTCGCCGTGCATTGTATTTGACAGTTGTACGACCAGCCCTGGACTACGCCACTCAAGTGTTGTCGCCGCAGTCGGTCGAGCTCATCAACCGAGCAGAACTTGTTCAACGCCGAGCTTGAAAGTTTATTCTAGGCCGCCCATTCATGTGTCAGTGACGTATCCTATAAAGACATACTCATCTTGACAGAACGTCTTCCCTCTCATATTGGCATGAATATTTAGACTTAATGTTCTACTTCAAAGCTATTATACATACCTTAGCTTACTGTATATATATCTGAACGTGTTGCTCCCGTAAGAGTTACGGCAAAATCATTCGCAAATGTCAATTAACGTAATCTCATTCCGTCAACGAAAACATAAAACAACAGCTTATAATCAATCATTGTTTCTTCGAACAACTAGAAGTTGGAACTCTCTCCAGAAGCATTTAAGGCTTAGTAATCTTTCTTTTATTCAATTTAAGAAAGGAATATTAGCATACTATACTTGACTGCATACGATCCTGCTACAACGTTGACGATTCACGAACTTGGAAGACTGTCTGTGTCAAATATCACAGTAACGTAACAGAAGCAGGTGTTATTATAAGCTCTTGTGGTATCCCAGATTCTTTAATGCAATTATTGTGTGATGTTTGGAAGCGAAGCACAATAAAGGGCAAAAAAGAAATAAAGTAAATAAATAAATAAAACATAGTCATAGGAAGATATAAAATTTCCATTACAAGAAATGAAAATATAATTTCACATGCTTGTATACTGGTCAGAAAACTCTCCATGACCATGTAATCAGCTCCTTAGAGAAAATGCATAAGTTATTTTTATATACTTAAAAAAAAATCTAATAATCTTATAAATGCGATTGATAAAGGAAGTTCCTGACATTCTTTTGCTTTCGTCAATTTTCATATTTGGACAAGTTGGAATACTGATCAAAGCCATGGTTTCGCCAGGGGCGCACATTAGGGGGGTGTGACACCCCCAGCTTTTCAAAATCGAAAAATGCATATTAGATAACCAATTCGGTCCCAGTTTCGGTCCACGAACATCCGATATGCTAGATAGATATATTTATTTAGTATTTTTGCACAAGTGAACATAACAAATCCTACAAGTTGATTGGTCAAATTTGACGTATTAATCTGTTATATTCACCTACAGGTGAAAATAACACAATCGAAATTTTCAAAATGGCGGCTAGCCGTTTTGTTGAAGTTAGTGATAAAGAAATAAGCGAAATTAAAATGAATTCAGACCAGAAAAACACAAAAAAACTTGTGCAAAAATACTAAAACAATTATTTTCTCCTCAGGCTCGGTGATTATCGGGGAATATTCACCTCGACTTCGTCTCGGCCAATATTCCCCGATAACCACCTCGATCGCCTTCGGAGAATAATTGTTAAATAATTAAGATAAATTAAACTTTTCGTCGTTTTTTATCATATTTTCTTAACTTAAATATAACTGCATTGGTAAATAAAATAGCGAGTTTCAAAGGCAAACAGCGTATTTTGATTTTTGAAATTTTCCGGGTGCAAAGTGCTTTGAGACTTTACACGAGCCTGGTGTAATATATCACGACACGCAAGCAGTATAAACAAATCACTTTATTAAATCCTATTCTAGTTCCCTGCACTCAATGCACTATATTCTTGTCCTGTATATTGTCTAGCAATCCCGTTTGTATTTGTCATCCGATATCCTTTCTTGAC